ACCAACGTTTCAGAGGTCATACTGCCTCCATCATCAGGGGGATGAAGATTTCTGTCTTTGGGTTGTTGCGCCGTGTAGTCTGGTCGATGTTTACCAACGTTTCAGAGGTCATACTGCCTCAGTCATCAGGGCGATGAAAACATTACCAGACTACACAGCGCAACAACCTAGAAGATAGAAATCTTTATGTTAGTATTGTTTCCAGTTACTTAAAATTGTAAATAATCCGAAATTATTTATTGTATTTCTTCGTTGATGATTTTGATTTCCTGTCGCCTTCGTATAATATTTACTGTTAGTTTAGATTTTAAAAGACACCCGTATTAACATGAATATTTTATTTCCCGCTTATTCTGAATGTGTTGTTACTTTATAAAATATTTTTACGAACTGTGATATATATTATAAGAAACAGGAACTGTACGAATGAAAGTAATAACTAAATAACGAAAAATATGAGGACACTATGCATGCACACCACAACTGTACAAAATATAGGCCTTTTTTATGTGGCGAAGTTGTTAACTATATTCTATTATGCCACCATTCTGGAAAAAAATAGTTATGAAGCACTTAAATCGTGCGTACCCCTGTGTTGTGTTGTCCGTTGGTGGTACGTGTGCAGCTAACACACTGTGTGAAGTTGGTTAAGTGCTGATTATTGTATTAGTGTACGATTCGTTTGTAGGTAGGCCCATAGCACGTGGTTCACTGATCCATCAGTTTTTTTAAAAATGTTTCGTGTAAACTTACAACGTGAAATAAGTCTTCTATGTGCACGTGAATGCAATTATAGCCTATATAGTTAAAAGATTTTTTTAATGTCGGTGGACCCAGATGTTAACCCGTGTGTGAATACACGTGTACACTGTGTAAATGCAGCGAGTCATTATATAGTCTAGCGAGGAAACAAGCACCTAATAAACAAGTTGGACATGAGCTACCGGCAAGTTACACGTTGCGAGTACATTACAGTCTAAATCTCATGCCCACGCACTATGCTAGTTTAATAAAGCCATAACCAATGAGCAACAAAATTACCTGTTTCAACCTTGCTTTACGTTTAAATTCAGTAGTCTCAAAATCTCTCAGCCTGAAAAGGGAAAAGGTGATTTTTTCCAAAACATGTACTACTTTAATATTTTAACGTGATGTTAAGACATATTTGCGTGTATGCTAGACGAATGTTATTGTGAGAATGAGGACGTCAGCATTAATTAGGCCTACATTTATTCCGCTTACAGTATAAAAATCACATGAGTTTATGTCATATTTCAAGTTTTAGTCTGAAGATGGCTGCATTTTGGGTTATTGCACTGCGAATCTTTTTTTTTTACTATTAAAATTTGTGATTTGTCGTCGTCAAGAAATGACGTCATCGTTTGAAAACTTGACCAACCCACCTGAAGGGGGGTTGGTCAAGTGTTTTAGCCCCCCATTCGGGGGGGTTGGTTTAGTCTCTTACTCAAGATTTTAAAACGCAACCAACCACCCCGAAGGGGGGGTTTTTGCGTTTTAAAAGCTTGATTAAACCCCAAAGGGGGGTTGGTTGCGTCTTGTTTAGTCTCTTACACAAGATTTTAAAAACTTGACCAAACCCCCGAAGAGCTCCGAAAGGAGCGCTCTGCTCTAGTTATGGTAAAAAGTTTGCCGATGTTTCATACTTCTTTCTGGAATCTGCAAGCGAATTTATATTTTCATGTTTTACGAAGTTACTTTATTCACAGCTCCCTTCAACACCTGTAGACCTTTTTATCTGTCCACAACCTGAAAAAGATCCATGCTGTGGTAACAAAATTAATAAATGTTAACAAAATAACATTTTATTTTCAAGCTAAATATTTATTCATTTCATATTCTCCAAACTTATGTTGCACTGTACTTAGAAAATACAAATATTTGTTCGTATTCAGAACTGCCATTTAGGTTAGGTTTACTTTTTTAATTCTGAACGTAATAAGTACAGACAATATCAAAAAGAAACTAGTCAAACTTCTACTGTAATTCAACATTTGCACATTATCAGATATACAACAGAATATAGGTACATAAACATTAGGAGAGAAATTCCGTAATCAGACTGAAAGAGACAACAAAGAGATGGCATAAAATAAAATACAGTATCCGCTGAAATGTATTTATATAATGCAGAATTCCATTAAGTATTGCTGCTTTCACAAAACTGCGTGCCATACAAGTCAAATTATGTCTTTAAAAATACGAATTTCATAACATATACGCAGTATTTAAAAATGCCTATCAAATTACTTTTGGTCAGAATGTCAACAATTTCGTTATGAATGGTATTTTTAAATATTTAATAATACCAGGACCATGCGCAAGAACATAATAAATATCATATAACCTGTGAATATGTATTAAAAACAAAAATTAAAGATAATATTATCAACATAACCTCACATGTAATTTTAGGAAAAAGAAAAATTGCTTATTATAATCCATAATAAAATGAAAAAGTTTCTTAATTGAGACATGCCAATATATAATGCGTACCTACAATTACATTATTTAATGTTATATAAAGAAAGACACTGTTTGCTTAACATTTATTGATTTAGAACTGTGAAAATTGTAAAAAAAAAATTAAAAATAAATGAAAATCAGGTGCACTGACCCGATGATGGAAAACTTACGCTCCCATTAGAGTATTTTCCAAAAAGGATAAGTAGCATGATTCATTTTGTCTCCATCGCTCACAATATCATTCCTTTCGTGAACATAAACTGGACCGCCTGGGGCTGGGTTGAAGACGTGGCTGTGGTCATTTGTGTCGGTTTCTGCATTACCAGAGGCGCACGAGGATGAATTTACATCTGATGCTGGACCACATCTTATATTTGGCAAACATTTTCCAAGTGACAATTTCTGTTTACCTCCAACACGAACATTTATACCTGTTTTGTCATTGGGTGATGCTGAATTTTCTACAGGTTTAGAAGATCCTACGTATTCTTCAGGAGAGATATTTTGATTTCCTGTGCTTGCAAGTTCTGTTTTGATACCGCTTGTCATTGGAACACGTCCCCTTACAGCTCTACCAAACTTAAGCTTGTTAAAGTTTCTAAGAATCTGGTCGTAAGAAAATTTGGTCAGGCCAGCTGTTCCACATAACGGCATTTTTGTGTTTAGCTCGTCTTTATTAGTTTCGATGTAATCTGAGTTTAACATCTCGGTGTGAGCTACCCCGTTAAGACATACCTGCCTCTGTGGTCTGTAATCTATGCCTGAATAGTTCGGTAGTTGTGTATTTTGCATACCAAATACGGTATCAGAATTATTTCCTGAACCAGAAGCATTGCCACGAATGTAATTTCCTTTCCATTGTTGGTAAACTGTGTGTTGCTTTACCAGCTGAACACTATAATTTGTTATACGTCTTCCATTTTCCATTGTTGACGTAACTTCAGCTCCGGACGGAACCAGCTCTCTGTTAACATCAGCAGCTACAAGTGGCTTTGAATTGCCTCTGTAATTCTTTGTTGACGCAGAATCTGCTATCTGGATGTCAGGTGAGATGTTATTTGCATTGGGCCGGACTGATTCGACAAGTTGTATAGGATTGTCGGTATGCTGTGTACAAGAAAGAGGGATTGGACCTGTGCAGGAGTTGTCATAAATAAATTCATCAATTGCTCGTTCTAGACACCAAGTGTCAGAACTCTGCGAAGAAATGGTCCCATTATTGGCACTGCTCTGTTGTATTTGGTTATTTTGTTGTTGTGATGTTGGTATTTCCTGATTCATTTTGTCCAATCCTTCACAGGCTTGCTGATGCTAAATTTATTAGGCAAATAATTAATTGGGAATTAGTATGAGGATATGACAGCGAAGATAATTTAAGTGTACTAAAACTTTCAAAGACATTATAGAACTAAATTAATTTTAAAAACGTCGTAACACGAACAGAATACGGCATGAACTCTTATTTTGACATACGTAGAAAAAAAAGTAAGTTTAATGAGATTTTCATTTTAAAACAATTATCAAACTGTAAAATTCGAGATCTACAGGCTTGTCTCTCCAAAAGAAATTTCTGCTTAGTTGTACCCTTCTCTTTTTCGAAGCAACGAATAATTTGGAAGAAATATCTTATGACATACGTAGGGCAGTCAAGAAGTTCCCGGAATTCCCGTGCAGAAGGAGAATGAGAGATAAGATAGCGCACGCAGGTGTTGTGGTGGACAGCTGAGCATGTCTGCTCGCAGTGGCAACATAACCTAACAAGAGCTCCAAAATATTATGACGAAAACATTTCAAACAACAAAAGACGTAATATGTATGTTTAATATCGTTTTATGATGACTTATATTCAATCAATTTTGTTTCTATGTGAACTTTGCAACAATTATTCGATCAGAACTAAGCATAAAACACGTAACTGTTAAAAAGTAAAATTGCATCTTTTTATGGCTTAAAAATGCGAGGATTTAATATAAAACTGAATCAGGCTTTCGAGAATCAGTCTAAGTGTAAATTAGGTCATTATTCAAATGCAGGTATTACTGGTAAACATTGCGTAACCGTTGAAATAGAGAATTATTTTAAACTCATATTTGTAATATTATTGCCCAAGACGTCAGTTGGATATGTTATAAACAAAACAAGATAATATTTATCCTTTCACTCAAAGACGACCACTTGGATTTGGAATACAGGGGAAATGTACTATCCACCGACCAGGAGAAAATCCCTGCTAGGAATTCAATACACGCGCATTCGTTCCACAACCACTGAACGAACAACAGACAACAGGATTTCGTATGTTCTAATGGATACAGCTTTAAGATTATCTCACAGTGGCACAGCGATTTAATCTAGAATATTATCACAACACCACACAAAAGAATACACATGCAATAAAATCTTCTCGGGCAATCAACCGCGTTAACTGGTTACCGTAGTAAACCGACGTTTCGGGAACAAACTGTCCCCATCTTCAGGATTCTGATGTGCACTGATCCCGAGCAGGCATTTACACAGGCGACTTCCGAGGATCCAGTCACATCAAAATCCTGAAGATAGGGACAGTTTGTTCCCGAAACGTCGGTTTACTACGGTAACCAGTTAACGCGGTTGATTGCCCGAGAAGATTTTATTGATTGTACTGGCCGCGAAAGTCTCAAATCCAGTACAGATGCACTCACTACACACTACACTTAACTGCATGATGTTTTCAGTGTGTGTAGTAGTGTAAAAGTGTAGCGTGTCACACTTCCCACCAATAGCAGCCCTCTTGTCCACCTGGTAGTAAACATTCCCCCTGTACCGCCCCAGAAACGACTTCCCCTCGCAGGGATTTTCTTCCGGCCGGTGGATAGTATTATTCAATTCAATTCAATTTCGTGTAATAATATGATTTAATAAGACAAATACACAAAATGCCATTTGTTCACTTCTTTTTAAAACTAACCCGGCCTTACGGTTTCCAATACAAAAATTATTATTGCACGTAAATCTATCATAATCTAACCTAATTACGTCTAATTTTATAAAAAATGCACTCAGTTTCACTTTTCGTGTTTACTGCACAAAATTTTAAATCGAACATAATCTAGAGTAATCAATTTTATGTCTGTTTTCGAGCCAAAATAAAAAAAAATTCGAACAGAATTTTGGTCAACTTTAATATTTTCCCCCATAATTATGAATAACAAGTACCTATCACTATTTCGTGTGTTAGTGGCTTAAGTGGGGGGGAGCTTACCTTCATGGAAATGTGTGGTGTGGCCCATTCAACAATGATCTCCCTTCCCCACAGCTGGACTCTGTCGGGAATAAGGCGCCTTCTCGCCATAGCAGCTGCATGGTGGCTCTCATATTCTACAAGAGCGTACTGCCCACTTGTCTGAGGATGAACTGTATTGTCTGGTCCACAATCCGTGCTCTTGTACAGCCACAAATCCGAGAGCCCTTCCGTGAGACGACACAACACCTGCACGTTGAGACAATATACGTAATTATCTTAAACAATTTACGACATGGTATTAACACTTGATCGTTATAGAAATTTATTGAAGAGTGGTTTTATTTCTGAATGAGATACTTACAGATCTGATGTCGGTTATATTTTTATCGGTAGGAAGCCCCCAAATATAAAGCCTGCAGTTGTTTGCAGATTTAGCGACACCAATTCGCCATCCTTCCCTGATTTCATAGTTATTCAATTTCTTGACAGCAAAATCAGCAATTTCGGGTGACGAATACATCACAAAGCCAAATCCGCGGTTAGAACCGCTAAAGTCCATCATGAGTCTTAATTCATAGATCTCACCAACCACTTCGAAAGTGGGCACAAGTTCATCTTCGAAACAGTCACGAGGAATTTTTCCTACGAAAACTTCACTTCCCCTTGGTGGGGGTGGTCCTTCCCACTTAGGAGGTGGACCTCCATATCGACGCTGACCATTTATTTGCACCAACTGATATCCTGTTTTCTCCATTAATTTAACCAGACGTTCTGTAGTTTTTTTTAAACTAGAGTCAAAGACATGTTGTGATTTCCCCACTGATGCCGATCGATTTCCATTTCGACTTTTAGGTACAGGCTCCATTTTCTTCGTATTATTTATATCAATTAACTTATTCAAATCTTGATAATTATAGTACTTATTGAATTACTATGAAAGTTGTCTTGAAATAAGAATTGATATTTCACTTACAAACACAACCACTCCCTACAAAAGTTGAGCGATAACTGACTTACCGTTCCGAGGCGTCACTTTGTTTTCAGTTTCGAGTCCATTATTGTATAAAGTTGTTATTTGAATCTGGTCGCCTCCTGCTAGCGGCTGAGCAGAAACGCGCGGACGAATAGCTTTTTTTATAGTCTAGATATTTTGTTTTCAGAACATTAGCAGTTCAAATGTAACAATGCAAAGAAAACGTTCATAAATACGTAATCTAATGTCACGCTGTCACGTGCATTTTAGGCGAGTGTACAAGCAGTTGCAAAAAAAATTGCTTATTAGCTTCGCTATGCGTATGTCAGTAAGCATATTATACCTCTGGAACCGCAGAAAGGATTTACGTAATATCTGACATTGGACAATTCTACTAAAATTTGTCTACACATTCCAATTTCTGTTGATATCCTGCAGTAAAAACCGACTGTTTTCAAGACGATGTACTTGCGTTTCTGCAAACATCTTCGAGTTTTACTGTTTACACATTTATCGGGGGCGAAACATATTTCGAATAAAAGTGGAGGAGAAACATGAGACACGTTTTATGACCTATATATTTTATCAATAAGTATTGGTTTTCGACATAATGAAACAAAAGAGTTTTGGATTGGTTTTAGGCTTTTCGTAAGACAGCGTTCAATATCTAGACGCAATAGCATACCGAAAGTGCCTGAATTGTTACGCAACATACTTCATAACATCAACACCAGTTGCAGAGTGTCTCAGTTTACGACTAATCTTTTCCTGCGCAATGAAGCCGACTGTTTGAAATCCAGGTCTTCCTGATAAGCAAATCGTACACTCAGCTGGTCAAGAAACTCCCCGCCTTATATGAAACCCGAAGGATCAATACAGCATTCACTAGTCTCTAGCCACATTTATAACCTCTCTTTTTACATTTTAATATTATTCTCCCATCTACTTCCAGGTTTTCCAAGTTGTCTTCTCCATCCCTGTTTTGAAAACAAAATTATGTACGCATTTATCATTTATCCCATTTATGCTGCATGTACGTGACCTCCCATTCTCCTTTATTTTATCATCATAATGATATTTGGTGTAGATTACAAACAATGGTGTTCCTCTTATTCAGTTTTCTCCAGCCTGCTGTCTGTTCATCCCTTTTAGTTCCTAATATTCTCCTAAGGGCCCTGTTCTCGGCCACTGAATCGGTGTAATTCCTTTAAACTGAGAAACCAAGTTTCATACTAATACAAACAACAGGTAGAATTATTATTTCGTTTATTTTAATGTTCACATTTTAGGTAGAAGAAAAGACTGCCTGTCACTACATATTTTGAATTCGCGGGATGACTGAGCCAATCAGATCTCGAAGAAGAGAAACGGAAGTGTGGCTTTAGCGACACGGGAATTACGTAGCAGAAAGATGAACTATACGAGTAAACATCTGACTGTGAGGAAGTGCGTGACGGTGTTGTAACTTGGGCAGTTTGGTTCAGCTTCTTTGTGTTTCAAGCACTTCTAAAAGGTTAGAAATACGTTCATCGCAGTTATGATTTGGCGATCTCTGATGAATCCATTGAAACACAACATCAGCAGTGCAGAAAAGTAAGTAGATGTTATTGTTACTGAATAAACTAGTAGCTACATGAATGTTACTATTTAAAATAAAAATACGTCTATTCAATCGTGTGTCTGCTATACCTTTTGCAGAATTACTCATTTTAAAGTAGTTCATTAAAGTGAAATTCGTTAGAAGAAATCCATTTTATAATAAATAATAAAATATATAAATAAGAGTAAATGTAAATATATAGTCGATATTCAGATACATGGGTTGTGCCATATCAAACTGAACAAAATTTAGCAAACATACCATCATCAATTCCTGTGATTCTTATTTTACAAGTAAAATCCATGATGTAAAGGTTTGCCCAGAGTTTAAATTTCATATTGTGACTACATCCATAGAAATTAATGTAATTGATGAATAATTGATAAAGTTTTCTGGATGTAGCAGGACTTTTCTTCTAAATATTTAAATATCAACATTGTTTAAAATGTCAGAAATACAAAATTTGGTGTTCATCTGTAGTTTGTATCAAGGTATCTATTAGTGCAATAGTCTTCTGAATTATTACTTTTGTACCAGCCTTATTTAAAAAATTAGGTAAGCTTTGTAAAATTTTATTTAGCAAGCTGGAACATTTATGAAGTATAAAAATTGTTTAATATTTTTGAGAAAAATAATTAATGTGGCCTTTAGCTCCATTGCCAAGAAATTAACATTACATGCCATTCGTTTCTGATGTTTTACCACACTTGAGGAAGGATAGTGTTTTAGTGGTGGTACAAGTTCTCATTAGAAGAACTGTAAAAGCTTAAAGAACCTTTGTTATCAAAATAATATTTTTAAGTATAATTTCTTTGCGGGTTCTCATGGCAAAAGTCCTTCAAATCAGATTGGTGGAACAGTAAAGTGACTTGTAGCACGCAACTGAGACAAATCACATTTTAACACCATAAAATTTATATAAATAATATATCGCACCAATTGTATTGTTCTACGTAACACAGAAATAAATCAAGTTTAAGACTGACGGGCTACGGTATCCTTAAACTGTCCCTTGAACATAAGTCTGTGCCAATTAATACTTTAGGCATTAAGATAATTTTCTTGCCGTCAGATAAAAAAGTTGCGGATACCAGAATGAGTGTCACGGATTTAACTGTTGTTGCAGTACAGAAAAGCCAGTCGTGTGCTGGAAAGTTCATAGACTTCAGCATGCTGTTATACAAGTAATTAATAAGAACTATACTCAGTTCATTTAAAGAATAAGATTATACTATAACCGTATGTATATTGGTTGTTAATTTAAAGTAATTTCATCAAAATGTTTAATTTACTAACATCTGTTACTAGGAAATGTTCCTGCCTAAACGTTTAAACATTTTACATCACTTCAGTGAAAGTCCACCCTATTTAACTTTTAATGTAGACGTTTGTGTTCAGTAAATTTTTAATCTTCTTAAATATATTCCCACATTGGTTTTTTAAGTTAAGAAAACCTGGTATAAAGCTCTTAATAACCAAATTATTGAGATACATGCATAAGCATTCCCTGAGAAAAGTACTGCTGTACACCAAATTTTGTCAATAAAATCTTCTCGGGCAGTCAGCCGCGTTAGTTGGTTACCGTAGTAAACCGACGTTTCGGGGACAAACTCTGTCCCCATCTTTATGGTTCTGATCTGACAGGCGACTTCCGAGGATCCGGTCACATCAGAACCCTGAAGATGGGGATGGAGTTTGTTCCCGAAACGTCGGTTTACTACAGTAACCAGCTAACGCGGCTGATTGCCCGAAAAGATTTTATTGATTGTACTCGCCGCGAAAGTCTCAAATCCTATACCAAATTTTGTGTTTATCAATTTTTAATTAATGAAGATATTTACATATTTGTAAGAATTAGCTGCTACATCCTAAAAACTGACAGATTTCTTTTAATAATATCTTGTGGTTTAGTCACGATAGCAAACTGAAGCATTAGAAAATACACTTTTATTTCATGGATATCTGCCTGTAAAATAATAATCGATCATGACGTGGATGAGAACACTGTTTGATCTCACATAGAATGACCCTTACATTAATATAACTTCTGACAGCCTACATAAATTTCATAGCCACGATTTACCGCGATAAGAATATTAAATTTGAATTTTGCCCAACGATCTTAAAACCAATTCATTAAAAGAGTTTACGCCCTTAATTTCAGTTAAGTTATTCGATAACGAGTTACGTACCGTCAACAGTGTTGTCAATTGTTACTCGTAAAGCAATTCTGAATAGATAAATGTAGCTTGTGGGCCAACACGAAATACTAAAACAACCAGCATAGACAAATGTAGACTTAGATATTATTTCTGCTTTGTTTGATATGTATGAGCTGGATTCGAAATTGTGACAAATTACAATCTGCGTTTCGTAAGGAAAAATGAAAAGTTACAGGTCTGTCCGTCTGTCTGTCTACAAATAACAACGCAACCGATTTCTGCAAACTTTGTTATGCTAGACCTATAACATAGTATTTTATAGGGTAATTTTTATTGTGACATAATTTGGTTCTTTTTATCAACCACTTTACGTAAGAAACAGAATGAACTTATCTTAAACGGTGTTACAGCAGGCCTTGTCCTTGCAATGCCCTTGCTTTCTTTATTATCCGTTTGTATGCTGTTGTGGTCTATCTTTCATTATTTTTCTTAAACTTATTCTGTTTTCACCTTCCATATTTACTCCATCCCATGTTCCTTTATTTTACTTTCTTGCTTTTATTCATCCTTTCTGTATAATTGAATTCATTGCTCTCTCATTTGTCGCTTTCATTGTTATGATATGACGAAAAATAAATTTCGTTGTGTGACCTGCTACTGAGTTTGAGAGGGACAGACGAAACACCGGCGAATTAGATTGTAGTTGTGCTGGGAGAACTGCGAAACTCACGAAAAATAAATCTCTTCTAGCCGCTCATTGTAGATTGACCTCTTTCGTTTCTAATGGGGTAAGACTGTCTGTAGAATTTCGGCCGCTGAAGGACCTGTTGTCCATCAACGAAACGATGCATGGGCGAATATGGGGTAACGGTGGAATGATATTGACAGGCTATATGCGGACTCGGAGAAATATGTCCCAGTGCCATTACTTTGACAATCATAAATCTCGGATGTACTGACCTGAACGCGAATCTGTGCCCCCAAGGTTAAAAACCGGCAGCAGCTGCCTGTGGCGTGGTACAGCCCGCTGATTTCGTATATTCCATCACATGAGCATTAGATTTCTGCTAAGCAGTTCTTGGAAGGTCCCTGTGTATCGCAAATGTTGCTTTGAGGTTACTTCAAGTACGAAGCTCAATTAATGTGTCGTCAGACATGCATTTTGGGTAACTTCAAAGTAACTGGCATAGCTATAGGAAACTTCAAAGCAAATTTCTGTTATCGACATTTAAAACAAAGACTTACAAAAGAATCTAGATTAATGTCAGAGAAAGGAACTCCCTAAGGCTGCAAACACGTGTCAGGATGGTACATGCGGCAATATATTTGATGGGTAAAGGGAATAATCCAAAAACTATATCTCAAAAAGGGCAGAGAAAGAATGTTTTCTTTCTTTGGTACTTTGTATAGAAGACCTTGAGTCAACAGAAATTACGTTGACGTAAGTCCTTCTTACCGATGATGAAAGGTTTAACGACGCTGATTAAAATGCAGTTATTGTATATAAGCTAATAAGATGAAAATATAATTGTATTGCTGTAGGCTATACCGTTCCCAGTTTTACTGGACTAGACATGTCCTGCTGTAAGGAACAAAATATCGTGTACCACTCTCACTCAAGGTGACCCTAGTAGGTCATTAAGAGATAAGAATTTAATCGCTGCCTACTCGTCTTATGAACACGCCGACTTGATGGACTTTGTGAAGGTTAGTAGCAGAGATAATACCTACAATGGAGATTGCAGATGCGGCTGCAAGAGATGACTAATGACACAGGTTTAAGAAGACAAGTATGAACGTTTAGAGATAAACGCCTTAAATTTGAATTCAGTCTCGATAATCGATTATCGGAAGATTAACTTTCTTCAGTGCACAGAAAATTGATTACGGCCATAAGACTTGGCAAAGATGTTATTTCGTTATTCATTGGTTTGGAATGAACTTAACAGAATGTAAATTGGACTTTCTATACATTACTACCAACCGAGAAAAAAGTAAGAGAATTTTGAGGAATTGACTCTTGTTATTGAATATTCCAAGTTAATCTGGACATTCTACAGTCAGAATAAGTTAACTGAAATAAATGCATTACCAGAGTTAAATAATTTGGGAGATAATCGACAGCGACAGAATGTAACGGGTGTTGGAGAAATTGCGTAATAAGGATCTTCATAATTTCCACTCTTCAGCTCGTCTAATATCTAAAGGGCAATGAAAGAAAGTAGAATAAGTTAGGCGTCTTCATTACAGAAACCAACTTGTTAATGCTGTTAACGGAAATAATCGCTGTTTGTTCTGAAAATCATGTGGAACCCACAAATACATCATGTGGTCAAAATGCATTAATCGATGAAGATTTCTGTCTTCTGGGTTGTTGCGCTGTGTAGTCTGGTAGATGTTAACCAACGTTTCGGAGGCCATACTGCCTCCGTCATCAGGGCGATGAATGTCAGACTACACAGCGCAACAACCCAGAAGACAGAAATCTTCATACTCGCTGCTGTGAAAACCTCAAATCTTACAATTAATCGATGTTACAATTAATCGATTAATCGAAAAGTAACTACTCTGTGTTAATGGGCTGAAGCTGTTTACAGGCATATCAAAACCTGCTTAGTCGGGGTATACCTTTAGAAGTGCCTCAAAATGGCGACGTTTAACAACTTCAACTTCAATAACTGTTCTAGTAGCTTTGTGAGACCATCTTCCGTCGTGTTCACTATCGCTGACAGTTCAGTGGTTGCTCAGTGAAAGGCAGGCAGTCAGTCAATCAGCTCACAGGTTACAAAACCTTTGTTTCTTCAAGAGGAAGAGGTTGTTTGCGTGATGTG